GAGGGGACAGGAGAAAAGAAGGAAATAAGAGAGGAGAGAAGAGGGAGAGAGAAGGGAGAGGGGAAGGATAGAAAAGAAGGAAAGAGAGGAGAGAGGGGAGGAAGAATGAGTGAAAAAGAAGGGGAGGGGCAGAGAGGGAGAAAAGGAAAAGGAGGAGGAGGAAGAAAGGAAGGAGGGGAGGACAGGAGACAGGAAGGAAGAGAGGAAAGAAGGAAGTAAAGAGAGGGGAGGAAGAAGGAGGAGACCAAATCAAACCAGATCTCCTAATTCTGAGAAATGAGCGTCAGCTCAGTATTTCAATGTGATTGATGTTACAAAGTCTACTTACTTAGTTTTAACTAATTATTTTTAATTAATGCTAAGTACACACGCACAATACAAAGAACTGACACACACATATAAGGAGAAAGAAAGGAACTGTCATGACATTTCTAGAGACAAACTGCTGTCTACTTGAAAGGTCTTAAAATCGTGGTGATGAATTATGCCTTTTAAAAGAATGAAGTTAGGGTCTGGAGAGCTAGATCAGTGGTTAAGAGTACTGGCTGCTCTTGCAGTGAATCCAGGTTGGGTTCGCAGCATCCACATGACAGCTAACAGTCATTGGCAACTCCAGTTCCAGGGGACCCAATGCCTCTTCTAACCTCCATGGGCATTGCACACACATGGTGCACTTACATACATGCATGCAAAATCATGCATCATATACATTAAATAAATAATTACAAGATAGAATGAAAATAGGTAAGATTAGGAGAGCTAAAAAGGCTTTAAGTGGGTTACAGACTTTAAGCATAATACCAATGAAAAGGAGATAATAGTGAGATAATAGTTTCTATTCCCTTGCTTGAAATTCAGCAGATTACTGGCTAACTCTGTGGGCTTGAGGATAGAGTTAGGCGGGGATATAGTCATGCAAGATCTACTAGGCATTGTGGAGGATTTGTGTATGAAAGTAGCCACTAAAAGATTTCAGGCAGGGGAGTAACAGGACCAGGTGGACACTTTTAGAAGATGGTGTGTGAGAAAAGAATTGCAGGACACCAAACGTGGGAACAAAGAGACCCGTTGGAAGTCCATGGTGAATACAGAGGTACGGATTAGGAAACGAGGGGAAGGAGACAGGGAAGTCTGGGTGCTGGAAACAAGAGGCCTAAAGTTGAAGCCACCTAGGAGGTCAAATCCAGAAAACATGATCTGCAGTGAAGGGGAAGGCAAGTGATGAGTGTGGAGAATGGTACTGGCAAGCACCACCAGGGGAATGTGCACTGATCCTTCAGAGACAATACTTAAAACAGTACAGTGAGGAAAGCCCAGGGGAGCTCGTAGAAATACTGAGTTAAAGGTAAATCTGTAGAGGACAGTCCTATTTGGAGGTAAATAGTTAGAGATACATCTTGTGTCAGAAAAAAATGTGTTTTATTTGTAAGAAATAGTAACAGCATGGATTATTTTTGAGACAGTATCTCACTATCTAGCCCTCACTGGCCTGGAACTTGCTATGTATCCTTGAAGATTGGCCTGCCTCTGCCTCCCAAGTGCTGGGATTAAAGTCATGCACTACCATATTTGGCTAATTTTCACTATTATAAATTCCCTTAATAACTCAGTCCCTATGTGTTTTATATCTAAACCATAACCCAATGGCTTGTTTTCAACTACACACACACACACACACACACACACACACACGGGGCAACTTCTGTTACTATAAGCATCCCCTTCTCTTTGTCTGTCCAGACTGCTATAACAAAGTACTTTAGACCAAACAACAGGTATGTCTTGTTCATGGTTCTGGAGGTTGCAATAGCCAAGATCACACACTAGATTGAGCAGTGAGAGCTTCATCTCTGCTTCATAAATGTCATCTTCTGCCTGAGTTCTAACATGGTATATGATAGCTTTCAATCACTATGACAAAATACATGATAAAATTTAACTTAAAGGTAAATTTTTTATTTATTTATTTTATGTGTATGAGTGTTATGTCTGCATGTGTGTAAGTGCACCCATGTCATGCAATGCTGCAGAATGTGGTATTTGGAGGTTAGGCCTACTAGAAACTTTTAAGGTTAAGTGAGGGCATAAGGTGGGGTCCTGAAACAATAGGACTATGGTTCACAAGAGGAGGAACAGAGGGCCTGTGAGATGACTCAGCAGGTAAAGGCATTTACTGTCCAGCCTGGACCTGAGTTTGATCCTGGGAACTCACATGGTGGAGGGAGAGGATCAACTTCCACAAGATGTCCTCTGACCTCCACATGAGTATCCATATATATACACACATGCACAAATACGCACATGCACTTGCACGCACACACACAATAAATAAATAGACTTAATTTTTTAAAAGAAAGAGGACAGACAAGAATAAGGATACATTTCTGGGTGTGGTGGCACACACCTTTAATCCCAACACTCAGAGGCAGAGGCAGGAGGATCTCTGTGAGTTCAAGGCCAGCCTGATTCTCATAGTGAGTTTCAGGCCAGCTGGGCTGCAGGGAGACCCTGACTCAAAAAGACCAAAAAAATAAAGCTGTCTTCCCCTGTGATGCTCTGGGCAGCCCTAGGACTCTCCAGAGAGTCCCTACCAGCATGAAGGCCCTCACCCTAGATGACCACACAGTCTTGAACTTCTCAGTCAATTTTATTCTTTTTACATTTATCCTTTTTTTTTTTTTTGGTCTTTCTTAAACAAGGTCTTCCTGTAGCCCCAGCTGGTCTGGAACTCACACTGTAGACCAGGCTGGTCTTGAACTCATAGAGATCTGCTTGCCTCTGCCTGCCAAGTGCTGGGACTACATGAGTATGCCACCACACCTGGCTAAATTTACTCTTAATACATTATACAGTTTGTGCTATTCAGTTATAGCAAAAGAAAATTGACTAAGACATGTACTAATCCTATTTATGAAGGTGGAATTCTCACGACCTAAACACCTCCTGAAGACTCCATCTCATGCCATTATATCAGGAATTAGGGCTCAGCATATAAATCGGGGGGAGGCACAGGCATTCAAATGATTGCACTGTTCAAGCCAGCCGTCCTTGGCCTAGAGAAATTATTTTTATGATTCCTTTAAGTGGAAAGAAAGCTCCCTAGATATTCAGTTCAAAGAGCCTGGCTCTATTAATAGCAATCTCACAACACTGCTGTCTACATGACTAAGCTTTGTCCTTTTGCTATATGCTGCCACTCTCTAAAGAAGTAGGTGATTCTTACATTCTAAATCTTGCTTATGAAAAAGATTATGATTTTTTAATAGGAAATAAACACAATTGAGATTTAAGTCTGGGACATAGGAGAGGAGATCAATGTGAAAATAAAACTTCGTGGAGGCAGAGGAAGGCAGTGATGGCTCAGGGTCTAAGGGATGTGAGCAAGAGGTGGGGTCAGTTACCTGGGACAGTAACACTGTATAGCAAGATGAGAAGGTTGCTTCAGTGTGGGCCTAAAGCAGATTCATTTAGAACTGTTCTGAAGTTAGCCTCTTACACTTCTAGCTTTTGCGTTCAAAGGATTTGTTATAAATGTTCTTAATAATGCCATTTCCTTTTGGATAAAGGCTTTGTCATTTCTGTGATGATGAAAAACTAAAATATAGGAGGTATGTAAGATGTTCCTATTAAGTTCTCAGACACTGTTAGGTGTGAGGCACCCCAGCTGGACCCCTCTATTTTGGCCTTCCCTCAGTATCTCTTTGGAGTAAGATGCTACATGAATTCTTTAGAATCTACTCTTAGATACTTTAGCTTATCCCCTTCTGTGTCATTGCATCAGAATGCATGATTAGTGTCGAAATCAAGGCATACCAGGATACCTTAATCCCAGCACTAAAGAGGCTGAGGCAGAAGGATATGTGTTCAAGGCTATATAGAAGGTCCCAGGCTAGACTAGGCTATAAAGTGAGCCTCTGCTCCAAAACATAAAACTGAATAAAGACATAAAACAAAGATGCTCCAAATACTGTTTTATCTCTCTGTAAGATGTAGATCACACCCTCCTGCTAATGATGTTCTATATTAATTTAAACTACACGGGCAATTTGGAGGGACTTTTGGGGGAAAGTGGATGGTCAACTAATGCAGATGGGCAAGAGAAATTTCTTTTGCCATTTTGTCTCACTGCTCAACTGTGAACATTGATGTGGTGGTTCCAGGAGAGTAAGGGTTGAGGATGAAACTTGGGAGGAATTTGTGATACTAAAAACACCCCTAGATCTCTCCTCTCACAGGTTCTGTGGGTGCTAATCTTATAAGTGGAAAGATGAAAGAGAGCCTACTGGAAGACCTAATCTAGTTCACAGACTCTCAGTGTGGGTTCTGATCAGCTTCTGTGAGCAGGTTGTTTGGAGAAAAGTCTCTTCCTTGCTTTCCACCTTGGGTTAATGAGAATTAAAAGCACAGGTTCAAATGGGAATCTGTCCAACAAGTTGTGAGTTAGAGTCCTGACTAATAGAAATGTTTACATTAAGGGTTGAGGGTATGGCTCAATGACATTATGCTTGCCTGGTATGCTTGAGACCCTAGATTCAAAAATAAAAGTTTACATAATGATTAGCTCCACAGCACTTAGGAGAGAGAGTCTTGCACTCATGTTTAAAGTCCTGTGTAGAGCAGTGCAATCCATACAGATGTGGCCTGTAGGCAGGGTCACTTCCTCGAAGCATCCCAGTCACGTTCCCTCCCTTCCTCGGCTCTCCCTCAGGCTCTGGTATTCCAACACTGGGCATTACTGTGGATATTTTGGACAGCGAAGAACATTTGAATTATCTCAACCAAGTGATTTCATTTTGCCTTGTGATGTCAATGAATTTCCCATAGAGATAAAAGAAGAAAGCAGAGTCACAGAGAAGAAGCAAAAATACGAATATCCTCTGCTATTTGATCGGGAAAGGTGAGACCACGGAGTTGGGTTTTTTTTTTCTTTAGATGAACAGATAAGGCTTAGACTATTATGATATTGTGACACTGTGATGGACGTGGAAAATTCAAAATCAAACTTTTCAATAATGCTTCAACTTCATGGAAGTGGGGAGCATGTCATCAAAAAGCTTAATTTAGTGCAGTCGTCCTTGGAACATTTGAGTCTTATAACCAAAATATGATAAGATTTAACCGAAGAAGATCAAAGAGGCAACTGCCTCATCAAAGGCACCAAATAAGATTGTTACATAGCATGACCTTCTAAGTTTGGAGTCCAGGGGCAGGTGGGGAAGACAGGATAGGAGATAAAGCAACAGAAGTCTATAGAGAACCAGGTAGAGAAAGAGCTCACATCTGCAATTCCAGGAAGCTTTATAAAACTCACTGAAAAATGATTGACAGCTGAAAAGTGGGCTCAAATGAAAAGCTAATGAGTTTGGTTTGAGACAGAATTCAATCTACAGTGCTTGTGGTACATCTAGGTAGAGGAATTTAAGAGGCACCCAGAATCAATCTGTCTGGACATGCTGAAAGAGGTCAGGGCTATAGACACAGATTTTGGAGTCAGTCAGCATAGTAGTATTTTCACTGTGGATAAGGAACTCAGGTCCCATGCCTTAAGTTAGAAAAGTAAAAAACTATGGGATAAGAAACAGCCTCTAAAGGGAAGGCTAAGGGAGAGATACTTGTGAAAAATCTTGAAAAGGAATAGCTAACATACAGAGGGGGAAAAACACAAATAAGCAGTGTAATGGAAATCAAAGGAGGAGAAAGTTGTAAGGAAGCAGAGAAGGACCCTCCTAGAATGTGGGAGCGAGGCCCATGCAACCGAAAAGTAAAAGTGGGTTTGACATAGAACGGTCCTTGATGATTCTGGAAGGGTGATTCCAGTGGAGTGATGGGAGAAAAATCTCAAGCCAATGGCTTGAAGAAATACAAGGAACTATGAGCTAATTGGTACAGAGTGCTTCTAAATTTCTGGTTGTAGAAATTTATGTGGTACAGTGTCATAATTTGACACATTTATACATTTATACAGTGTATAATGATGATCAAACCAGAGCAGTTAACTTTCTCTTTCCTTAAACATTGTTTTAAGTTTTTATTAACATGTAATACTTGTATTTATGCAATATGGTATGATATTTTGGTACATTTTACAGTATGTATTAATACATCAGAGTGATTAATGTTTCCATTTAGTTATCATTACTTTGTGCCTGGCACCTTCAAGGTTATTACTTGGGGGACAGGGAGGGGAGTCAATTGTCAATCAGAATGTATAGTGGAAACCAAGAATGGTACTGCCAGCACTCAGGGGAGAGGTAGGAGGAACCAAAAGTTCAAGGTCAGCCTGGGCTGTGTAACAAGCTTCAGGGCAGCCAGGGATACACAGTGAGACCTTGTTTCCAAAGAAAAAAAGTGGGGAACATATATAATAGATATTAGTAGAGGCTGAGAAAGGTGGGAACATGGGCTGAGAATAGGGAAGAGAGAGGTTAGATAACATGTCATAGAATTCGATTAGCGTAGATTTATTTTTAAAGAAATCAAATAGCATTTGCAGAACAGTCTCTTCCATGGGTTTGTTTTTTGCATGAGAGACTAAGGATGCTTAAAGGAACAGAAAAGGGGAAGCAATTCTGCCACAGAGAACAGAAAGCAAAGAAACTGTTGTACAAATTTCCTTCCTTGTTTTTTGACTGACCTTTGTCATAGTGGAAGGCTGGTGCTCCCCTGAGCTCAGACTTAAAAGGTAAATGTCTAAATGTCCAACTTCTAAGAAACCAGCTCTGCTTAGACTGGCAATAATCCTATAAATCAGAACTTGGAGAGCCCACAAGGATGATTCCCAAGTGGGAAGCCTCAGAGGGGGTTGTCAAAGAGAAAGCCCTTCAGGGAAATCCCAAGTCAGTCAAAACTGGAGACTCCAGATGCCATAATCTAATGCAAGGGGTGGTAGAAATGCTGTGAATAAGAATTGAATCCAAGAGTCAGAAACTACAGAAAGACAGGCTCCAGCTGACGGCAAGGCCCTACTAGAGGGTTCAAGACATCCCGTGGTGCTGACCAGTAAGGAGCATGAGAGAGGAGGCTGACTAACATGTGAGAAGTGGTGGAAAACCAAGCCCATCAAGATGTGGCGAGCGTACCATAGAGGCAACTGGCCCTATCTTTTGGGTAACTGTCCAGACTTGAATGTCCGTATCTTGTGTATTAGTTATTCCTCTGTGGTTATGACCTGGAAAAAGCAACTTGTAAATAAGGATTTATTTTAGTTCACAGTTCTAGGGTACAGTCACCTTGGCAGGAAAGTCATGGAAGCAGGAGCTTGAAGTGGTTGGTCACATTGCACACCAGGTCAGGAAGCAGAGAGCAACAAATGTCATTGCTCAGCTCACCTTCTCCATCTTATTCAGTCCAGGACCTCAGCCCATGGATGATGTTGCTGGCATTTGAAGCGGGTCCTCCCACCTCAATTAACCTAACCAAATTAATCCCTCACATACCTAGAGTCTTTTCTCTTCAGCGATTCTAGATCCTGCTGAGTTGCAATCAGTATTAACCATCACATATCTTAATTTAGATGATGTATTCTTATTTGTGAATACATGTCTTCTTCACTCCCAAGTCCTTTGAGGACCAGGATCTTATTTTATACATCTGTATCCCTAACTCTTCAATCAATGCTGGTACATTTTTCTGCAAAATGGCTAGTAGGGAATATTACAAGCACAAGAGAAGGATGTAAATGGTAGATAGAGAAGCATGAAAGAGGTGGCATGTTTGGGATAGTTTAAATGCATGAGATATTCTAAAATAATTTTGTTGTGACCAGAGAGATGGCTCTGTGGTTAAGAGCACTGGCTGCTTTTGCAGAGGACCTGGGTTTGGTTCCCAGCACCCACATGGCAGCCAACAACCATCTATTTCCAAGGGATCCGATGCCCTCTTCTAGCCTCTGTGGGCATTGCATACATGGGTGCACTTACATGCATGCAGGCAAAACATTCATGCATGTAAAATAAAAATAAATAATAATTTTGTTTCTGTATTGTAAATCGGGCCTTGTTCTGTAGAATGATTCTGCCTCATTACATTTATTGGGGTGGGGCTGTCATGGTACACGTGTGGAGGTCAGAGGACAACCTGCAGAAGTCAGATCTCTACGCAGTCTCTATAAGACCATGTGGGTCCTGGTGATTAAACTCAGGCCATTGGGCTTGGCAGCAAGCACTGTCACCACTGAGCCATCTCATTGGCCCTACAATGACTCCATCTCAAGGCATATTATCAAGGCTTTTTAAAAAGTATTTAGTGTTTAGTTATGACCTTCTAAATATATACATAAGTTTGAACTATAGAGGAAGCTTTCCAAGGTCATTCCAAAGTCAAGCATTATACAGGACTTTTTTTTTCTCCAGTGACAATTGATGAATTTAATTACATGAAATTTTCAGGCAGAGTAGAAATTGCTACAGTTTCCCTGGGGGAATCTAGTGAGCTAAACTGAATAAGAATTAGGTAGAGAGTTAGCATCAGTGGGACTGGTGGTATGAGTGTCAGGCAGTGTGAGGAGCAGAGATGAAGGACATGGTCGATATTTTTTTATTTGGCAAAGAATGAAACATATAGATATATATTGACTTTTTCTTCTATCTTTGTATGCAGATGGAAAAAAACGAGCTCACTGTCTTTGCTTTTCAAACATACACCTCCCAAGCCCTTTGAAGTACAGCATGATTTTAAGTTTTTCAAGTCTCTTTCTTCTCCTAAGGTAGTTAAAACAAGAAAATTACCCTTGCTTTTATAGTTTTGAATTCAAATATGCCCATCAATATAGCATATTGATTTTCTTTAACTGCTATTCCAAATTACCACTACTTTTTGCATAAATAATTCAAATTATTTATCTCACAACTTTGTAGGTGAAACAATCTGAAAAGAAATCTGGGTATGGGGGTACATGCCTATAATCCTAGCACTTGGGATGTGGAGGAAGGAAGATCAGGAGTTCAAGGCCAGCCTTATTTATATAGCAAATTCAAAGCCAGTTGGGCTACATGAAGACCTGTCTAAAAGGAGATTGATGGGAGCACGTTCCTTAGTGCACGTTCCTCCCTTCATCATCAAAGCCAGCGATGCTGTATCTCTCTAAGCATATGGTCCCAGGTCCCTCTGATTCAGTGGAAAAGAGTCTCTGCTTCTAATAATTCGTGCGATTATACTGGGGCACCTAGGTAAGGCAGGACCCCCCCCCAAAAAGAAAGTCATTACACAGTGTTCAGAGGCCAATGGATGAGAAACAGAATGTAGACACCACTGGTACTCAGTATTCTGTTGTTCATGGGTGCATTTATTTCCTCAGTGCTGAATGAGACAAGTGTGCTGTTGTTTATTGTGTTTCTACTTTAAACACTCTAGAGAATGGATGTGGAATTAGTTAACTAAAATTTATTTCTGCCAGCTCTTCCACAAAATAAACACACCTGTCTAGATGTATTTCCTAGTACATAGCTGTCCCACTGTTCACAGTTCAGACTCAATATTTGTTGAGCATTCTATTCTTAATATTCAGTTCATCTGGGATCTCCTTGCCACAGCCATGACTTCTTTCCATCTGTCCAAACCCACCCTGTCTTATATATAACAGACCAAAGGTTACTATCTAGACTATGATAAAAAGTCCTAAAAATAAGAAAAAGAAGTCCAATAAAAAATTAGTTTAAAGCTTAGATAATTCACAAAAGAAAATATATTTGCCAGTAAGCACATAGAAAAGATACCCAACCTCCTTAGTGCACAGTACATGCCATCAATAATATTATGGGATGCCACTTCAGACCTACCAGCATGGCAAAATAAAACAGCATAATGATATAAAAAATACTAATCTGCCAATCTGCACACACCTTTAATCCCAGCACTCAAGAGACAGAAGCAGGTGGATCTCTGTAAATTAAAGGTCAGCCTGGTTGAAAGAAAAGAAAAGAAAAGAAAAGAAAAGAAAGAAAGAAAGAAAGAAAGAAAGAAAGAAAAAGAAAGAAAAGAAAGAAAGAAAGAAAGAAAGAAAGAAAGAAAGAAAGAAAGAAAGAAAGAAAGAAAGAAAGAAAGGAAAGGAAAGAAAGAAAAGAAAGAAAGAAAAGAAAGAAAGGACAGAAAGAAGGAGAGGGAGGGATGGAAGGAGGGAAGAAGGAAGGAAGGAAGGAAAGAGAAAGAAAGGGAAAGAAGAAAGCAAGCCCATGCTAGTTGTCACATGAATTAATAGAAAGTCATTGAAAAACAATATGGCATTATCCACAAAGTTGAAAATAGTTATGCCCTGTTATATAAATATGAACTCAGGAGATGGGTGTAAAAATGCTCAAGGCAGAAGGCTAGCTTGGTCTACATAGTGAGTTCCAGGCCAGCCTAGGCTGCAGAGAGAGACCTTGTCTCAAAAATCAAGCATACACACACACACACACACACACACACACACACACACACACACACAAGAAAGAAATCAAAAGTAAGAACTTAACAACTGAAATATTAAATAAATGTTTGGAAATCCTTAGAAGGGCTTCTGAGAGCCCTTGAGACACTTGAACTCCCCATTTCTTCTCTCACCTGCCCATCTTTTACTGCGTTTGTCTGATGAAAGAAAATGATTCCAAGCAAAAGTTGAGTTGAGATGGGTCTCACCTGCAATCTCTGATTTTTTTAATCAGCAATCTTGGTTTGCCCTTCTGCATCCTCAATGCAGATCTAATATTAAACTAGTCACTTTTCTCCTAATTTCCTTTTTACATTAATATTACCAGTAATATTGTGACAGTAAAGCTGGCATTTGAGAAGCACTTTCCCCCAATCTTAGTATAAGATCCCATTTGATTCTCCTCTCAACAAAGAAAGAGCTTGCCTAAGATCTTGGATTAGTGAGTCAGGTTTGACCCAGGTATTTTGTCACTGATGAATGAAATGTGCCCTTTCCTGTAAATCTTCATTGCTGATTTGCAGATCCGCAGATATGCTCTGGAAGGTTTCGTGACGGAAAACAAAGAAGCAGGGATTGTTTTTGGTTCTCTGCCTATATACAGGGTAAGTCAGAGGTTTTTAGGACAACAGTAATAACAGGGTAGGATGAAGTCTGACTTCTCAATCCCGACATAATCACCCCACTGATGCTTCCACAAACATGATGTCCAGTCCAAGACAAGTCTTGGGTTTTGTATATTCATGGCTCAAATTGCTCACCTCTGTCATTGCACATAATAGTGACTGAGCTTTTTCATTAGTGGTTTATTGCCTGCAGGATAAAATCCAAATACCTTAGCCTGGCATACAAACCTTCCATGATATGACCCCTGTCAGATTGTTTAGCCTCAGTTTTTCCACATTCCCCCCATACACCCCCCTATATTCTACCCATGTTGAACAGCACAGCTTGAGCATCGCTGGCCTGCATGGTGTCCATTACTGTGCTTGTACTGCCATCTGCCCAGTAGTCATCTATCCCCTGTTGCTTTTCAAATCTCTTCTCCAAGTTTTCACCCCAGATGACTAATGTTAAGTAACTAATGAAACCAAGAAATAATAAGCTACCAAAATATTTCAACGTAATATGAAATAGATCTTACCATTAATTATCTTTTCCAAGGACATGATAATTGCAATAAATAACAAACAATGATGGTTCTGACAGCAAACTATCAAGAATTAATAGTAACAAGCTGGGGAGGTGGTTCAGTTGGTAAAGTGCGACTCACACAAGCATGATGACTTGAGTTTTCATCCCCAGTACCCACATAAAAAGCTGGACATGGTGGTGTGCATCTATAATCTCTATCCTGGGGAGGCAGAAACAGAAGGATCCCTGGGGTTCCCTGACTAGCCATTCAAAGTGAATCAGTGAGAGCTAGAGAGATGGTTCAGTGGTTAAGAGCACTGGCTACTCTTGCAGAGGACCCAGGTTTGGTTTCCAGCACCCACATGGCAGCCAACAACCATCTGTAACTCCAGTTCCAGGGGATCAGACATCCTCTTCTCTCCTCTCTGGGCACTTCACATATGTGGTGCATTTACATACATGCAGGCAAAACACTCATACACATAAAATAAAAATAAATTTTAAAAAAGAATCAATGAGCTCGAGCTTCAGTGAGAGACCTTGTCTCAAAAATAAGGTAGAGAGCTGGAGGATGACTCAGTGTTTAGCACTTGCTGTGCAGGCATGAGGGCCAGAGTTCAGATTCCCCAAACCCATATCAAAGCTGTCCAGGCATGGCAGCCCACCTGTAATCCCAGTGCTTGAGAGACGGAGACAGGGGCTGTCTTATGCAAGATGACGAGCTAGAAAAGTCAGATCTGACAAACTCCAGGTTTAGCAAGAGACTTTATCAGCAAATAAAATGGAAAGGGATCAAGAAAGACAACACACATGGACCGACACATACATGCACCCACACATACATATACACGCATGCATACCACACAGACACACATGATATATTGAAGACTATAAGCAGTTTATAAATAATTTTTTAATAATAATAATAAATATAAGGTGGCAAAATTACTGAGGAAGACACCAGATGTCAACCAGACATCACCACACACATGTGCACACAACAAAAGAATGAACAGTAGGGTAGCACACAGCTGTCATCTGAGCACTAGGAAGGCAAAGGCAGGAAGATCTAGCATTCAAGACCAACCTACGATATATAAACCTGCCTGAAAAAACAAATCAAAAGACTCACATCCACAGAGAGGGAAGGAAGGAAGAAAGGGGGAGGGGAGGGGAGGGGAGAGAGAAAGAGAGGAGAGAGAGAAAGAAAGAGAGAGAGAGGGAGAGGAGAGAATGGACAGCTAGAGGGTATGGCTTGAAGGAGATGGACTTCCCTTGTGGCACTTCCACCCCAAGTTCACATTCAGAAATAACCACTTTTTAAATTTTATATTATATTGTATGAGTACCTGCATATATGTAAGTATGTCTGTGTTGGACAGTGCCAGCAGAGGTCAGAAGAGGACATTAAATCCCCTAGAACTGGAGTTATGGACCATGTGGGTGCTGGGATTTGAACCCCACTCTTCTCTAATAGCAGACAGTGCTCCTATCGGTTGAGCCATCTCTCCACTTTAAGCATGACTGACTCACTTTGTGGTTTGCAGGTACCGAGTCCCATGAGCCTAAGATTCCTTCCACTCATTGGTTCTGAAGCACAAAGGGAATCTGTAGATGCCGTTTACGGAAAGAAGAAGGGCGGTCATGTTCAACATGAGAAAGTAAGTTCCACTCATTCCACAGGGGATGCTAACACTGCTGCTATCCCTACTGTTTAGTCTTTGCTTCTCGGTCCTTCACAAAACATTCTGAGCCTAAAACTATTTCAGTTCATATTTTTATGGATAGTCCAGATGTGTGAGTGTTCAGCTCCATGAGATAAAAATCAACTGTGTATTTGCTGGGTAGAGAGGGAGAAAATTAAATAGAACCTGTGGGTATGAATGAACGGGTCTTTCCTGCTGCTTCAGGAGAGAAATTCTGTGAGTTGTTTTAAAAACCAAGGAATTGGGTACAACGAAACTGAGGGCAATGGAGCGGCCATGGTTTCTTAATCTTATTGTGCCTGGTGGAGGGGCAAGGGGGCAGGTTGTCAGTGAGCTCCTGCCTTACCAGCAGGAATTTTTCCCATGTATTGACAGGAAATAACATATGATGCTTTTTTATTACAAAATATTTTTATTTGTTAGGTCCATCTTGGATTTGAGGGGTATGCTAAAGATCACATGTTAATTAAATTATAAGCTGAGATCTTCCACTCCAAATTTCATGCTCACTGTAGTAAACCGTGATGCCCTATACAATTCAAACCCTATTCTAATAGTTCTAGAAGTCTACATAGCCCTGACTTAACTGTGGTCATTTAGGCATCAAAATAGGTCAGATATTAAGAAAAAGATCAAGGGGCTGGAGAGATGGCTCAGCAGTTAAGAGCACCAGCTGCTCTTGCAGAGGACCTGGGTTCAGTTCCCAGTGCCCACATGGTGGCTAACAACCATCCATAACTCCAGTTCCAGGGGATCTGACACCCTCTTTTGACCTCTGCAGGCATTTCCCAACATGGGTGTATTTACATGCATGCAGGCAATACACTCATACACATAAAAATAAAAATAATAAATAAAGCTTTTTTTAAAAAAGGAAAAGGATCAAGGCAAAGGGTAATTCTTATGTTTCCTTTCCATGAAGTCAGATTAGTAACAGAAAGAATGTTTTTTAATGCCTACAGTTAACCCAAAAAACACAATGACAATGACACAACCACTTTTTAAAAATATTTTTTTATTTTATTTTATGTGTATGCATGTATTGCCTGCATGTAGGTAAGTGCACCCATGTTGTGTAATGCCCATGGAGGTCAGAAGAGGGCATCAGAACCCCTGGAACTGGAGTCACAGATGGTTGATAACTGCCATGTTGGTGCTGGGAATCCAATCGGGGTCCTCTGCAAGAGCAGCCAGTGTCCTTAACTGCTGAGCCATCTCTCCAGTCCCCCTAACTTGGTAATATTGTTAATGATAGTGGTTAATTTAACTTTCAAAGTAATGTGCCAATTCCAAGGTTGTATGCCTAACATGCCCTCACTCACAGCTCTCTGCAGCAATCCTTTGAAATCATTAAAATAACCAACTCCATTTTACAGTTAAGAAAACTGAAGCACAGGGCATAAGTAACTTATCAAAGATCCCAGAAGAAACCATTGATGAATCAGGGATTTAAAGTCAGAAGCTTGACTTCAGCCTGGGTGTTTAAATATGATGTAGTATGATTTGGAGGTAGGTGAGCTGCCTAGGGCAATCCTGGTGGAAACAGCCCTCTGAGCGTGTATGGACAAAGACAGTCCCCTCACTCTGCTTCCCTTTCCTCCATAGCCTTATCACTGTAGAACATTCTGTCATTCAATAGTTCATTTTTTTCCTACTGTCGTGTCTTTTTTCTCCTTGAAAACTCATTCCATTTTCTTTATTTCACTGGAGTATAAAATCCATAAAGGCAGGAACTTTGACTTGGTCTCAACAGACTGACACTGAAAACAAAAGAAAAAAACTGCTGAATAATAAGTGAGTTTTTAAAAAGAAAAAGAGGAAGGAAAGAAAGTCACCTGTAGTGAGGGACATTCCTTTGGATGGGGCGTGGCAGGTCCCAAAGGGAGCTAAACTTCCCATCTTGGCTCTGGGAGAAAGAGGAACAGCCACCTGACCTGTTGGTGCCCAAGCCTAAAGAACCTTTGGAGACAAAAGTTGGACCCAAGAGCTTTCTGTGTCTTTCTTTACCTTGTATTCTATGTCTCTGCATCCCTTTTTGATTTGTGCTGCAAAGTTATATAACCAGATCCCAGAAATAGCTCCAGAAACATATGGTGTTCATCTAGTGTTTCCTGTAAATTCTGATTTTGTGTGTGTGTGCGTGTGTGTGTGTGTCTGTGTGTCTGTGTGTCTGTGTGTATGTGTGTGCTTTCAAATTTATTATTATTATTAATTATTAGTATGTATGTGTGTGTACATGCATACCAAAGCACATGTGTGGTGGTCAGAGACAACTTCCAAGAATTATTTCTCTCTTTCCATGATGGGATCAAGAGATCCAGCTCAGGTTGTCAGGTTTGTGTGGCAAGTGATGATATAAGCGGGTGAACCATTTCACTATCCAAAGGAGGGCTTTTGAGACAGGATGTCAGCATGTATCCCACAGGCTGTCCTGGAACTCCCTGTTGTAAACCAGGCTGGACTGAAACTTGTGGCAATCCTCCTGCCCTCACTTCCCAAGTACTGGGGTTTACAGACATGCTTTTATATACCCAGAAAATTAGATCATTCTTAATCCAAGGCAAATGTTTTTATATTAAATGAAGTTAAAGTTATATATTTATTCCTTCCAAAAATCCTATTCAAAACAGACTTTATTTCATTTATATGAGCATACTTGATTTGTTTCCAGACCTGTCAGTGAACCAGGGTTATTAATTACTAGTACAGAATTAATTACTAGTTAGCTAAGTCTTTGTTTTTATTCAGTCAACCATTTCCAGTTTATGTGGGTGGGCCCTAGAATGGATAACCTCACAGTTAAGTTCTAAAGCTCTTCTAGCAGTGAGTTAGGAGTCCCACCATTCAACACTCTTCCACCTGGAGATGCACAGGATTCTTGAAATCACTTTTTTTTCTAGAAGGATTAAAATCTCTGATGGTGAAAGTTGGAAAATGGTATTTATCTATAATACTTTTTACTAGTTAATGTGCCCTCTATTCCACAGATGCCACGGAGACAAAGCCTGAAAAAAAATTTAGTCTCACAGATAAATCTGTCTTCATCCTTCTTCCCAACCATGCCCAAGTGAAGAGAAACTTCAGAACTGGCTGTTGCCCAGAGACTGACAAAGTCTGGATGATGCCCTGATCAAGATTCTAGGATGAGGATGAGGCTCCACCAAACAGTCATCCATCGCCCCATCTCAGGCCATCCTAGTGATGGATAAGGTTATTCAAGGAGCCCTGACAACAAGCAAGCAGCAGCACACAGCCAGTTTGTCAACTTCTTTCATGCAGGGAAAGACAAAGGGCAATGTTTCTTGTCATTGTCAATGAAATGGAACAAAGCATAACTACACCCAAAATACGGTTACCAGTGATGTTTTGTACCTCCTCCCATTGTTCACCCTGATCCATAATCAGAATTAGAATGTGTACAGTAAAAGGCAAATTATTTGTGTGTCATGTTATGTGGTGTGCAAAGAGGATTATTGTCATTGTTACTTATTTTCAGTACTAGAGATTGAATCTAGACACTGACATGTGATATGTTATATCCACAGCCCTATTTTAAGACAAGGTCTTACTAAGTTGATCAGGCAGGCCTTGAACTTGAAATGATCCTACCTCAGCCTCCCAAGTAGCTAGGATGACAAGCTTCAGCTACCAAGCCTGCCAGGAGAATTATAATTAAAAAGAAAAACATACCCATCCAGGCTCTCAAAGTCTTCTTCATTGAGGGCAATGCCATCTTGAAGATGTGACTAAGACTTCTTGGAAATAAGATGTCACTACAAAGACTGATTGATTGGAACTTCAGTAATGTGGAGAGATTAGAATGCTGCAAGTCCACAGCCAAATTATCTTGGGGTGCCTTTAGCCCCTTAATAGCCATTTATTGCCCTCCTCTATATGACCATTAGGTAAATCTCTGGAATGCATGAACAGACCCCTAGTTTCTAACAACCAAAGGGCTAAGAATGCTGTTAGATAGCATCTGAGGCTGATAGTACCTTTAACCACTTTTTCTATAACCTGCCTACCTGATGTACCTACAAATGTATTTGAAAAGTATGTTATTTTCTGACTTTCTTTGTTCTGCTATTATAAAACAGTCATGAAATTGCTACTTCATTGGAACATGGTATTTGGGGAGACCTGAATCTGTGTTCCTTGGTCATGATCACTCATATTTGGCTCCAGAATAAACTCTTTTATTCCTTTGAGGCTAAGATCTATGTCTTTCATCAACAACAAAAAACTTGTTCAGAGTTTCCTGAAGTCAGGAATTTTTTTTGTCTTTTTGAGACAGGGTCTCCCTGTAGCCCCAGCTGACCTGGAACTCACTATGTAGACCAGACTGGCCTTGAACTCACAGAGATCCACCTGCAATATTTACATTTCGCTTAGGAATGAGTCCATATTCACAGAACTGGAATAATGTCTGATGTAGCTGGGGTTCATCTTTCATTAACTCTTTTAATAAATGACCTTAGTATTTTCACCAAATGATGAACTGTTACCAAACACCACAGGCTCCATCATCTTCTAGACAAGCACAGCCAAGGCACAAAAGGAGTAGCCTGCATCAGGGAGGAGATGCAGAAGTAACGTCTGCATCTAGCAAAAGTATCATGAGGATTTTATTTAGGTAGCCTATACATGTTTAATAGGTGATGACCCCAGGTCCTGAGGTAGAGTACAGTCAAGAAAACAGTGCTTTCCTGAGCATGCCCAGTTTAAGATTTAAAAAAAAATTCAAGAAGGAAAAATAGTAGACACATTTTGGGACCTCAATTCAAGGTCATGGAATATGTGTTTGAAAGGTTAAAATGGTGGACCAATGCCTTTGGGTATACTCATATTGCAACATAAAGTTTTAGCTGAAAATACTACTTTTATTACAATAGCAGAAAGGCCCCTTAAGAGCCTGAGTGGAAACCCAACATTCCAGTTGAGCAGTGTGCTGGATATCTTCAGTTATCAATTTGATACACCTGGGTGGAGGGAACCTCAATTGAGGAATTTCTTCCATTGGATTGGCCTGTGGCCATGTCTGTGAGGCATTTCCTTGATTTTTGAATGATGTGGAAGGCCCAGCCCACTGTGGGTGGTACCACCCCCCCCCAACAGGTAGTCTGGGTTGCATAAGAAAGAAGGCTGAGCACAGAGAGGAGAGCAAGTCAGTGAGCAGCACTCCTCCATGGTCTATACTTTGGTTCCTACCCTGAGCTCCTGCTCTGTCTTCTATAATGAACTGTAAGCTGAAGATGAAATCCTTTTCTCCCAAGTTGGTTTTGATCTGAGTTTCTATCACAGCAATAGAGAAACAAACTAAGCAGGCAGCGTCAATCACCTGGTCCAGGGACCACCCTTAAGAAGGCAGATTCGCCTTAAGACACAGGCAGAATAATTAATTCTTTAATGAGATAATGTATTTTTTCTGCTCCGAATTCCCAAACCCAATGCAGTAGTTTATTGGACAGCAGGCATGCAGCTTTGTAAGTCTGCCTGCTTCAGAAAACTGTAGCCTCACCTTTTCTTCTGTCTCTGGGCTTCCCAAACATTTTGGGTTTCTTTACTCTTTCTTTAAAACTCCCTTCCCTGCCATGTGGCTGGTACTCCGCCATGTATCTGACCTCCATGCCAGCTTAAAATGGCAGGGCTTTTTGGCTTCTCTCCTCCATTTGCCTCCTCCCAGGCTACCTGCCCTGAGCATTTTTTTCTTTAAACTCTAATAAAATTGTCCTTAAGCTTCTATTTGAGTTCATTCTTAGAGTCTTTTATTAATAAGACTAAGAATCATAAGGGAGGGCCCTAATTTCCCTTGTATCATTTTGAAGATACATTAATATAGGAGTTTGTTTCTAAAAGTGTCTGTCTTGTTTAGCAGCTCACAGAATGTCACTAATGATAGAGATGTAAAAACGAAAGCATATAAATTTGACTGATATGAATCAGATTCTAAACCTAAAGAAAGTGTGAAAGAAAAGTATCAGAAAGGAAACATGAGAATCAGCTAACCTGGGCCTCTTTGGGAAATGATTCTCAGTTCCAAGTAATAAAAGTGTTGCCATGGAAACAGCTGTTTGCCTGCTTTTCCCCAAAGCATCAAACCACCACTTAGTGAAGGAAAAAAAAAAAAAATGTGGTCTTTTTTAAATTCTGAGTTCTCATTCTGTGAGAGAATTAAATGAAAATTCTAAAACAATAGTGACAAAAATATGAACAAAACATACTTAAGGAATAGGTTAGGTGGTTCAGTTAAAGAGAAAATTAGTGAACTAAAAACTTGGTTAGAAGGAAATATCCACAATGAATGATTAAGGGGTGGAAATAGAGACTGGGGAGGAACAGCGAGGTATGAAGAGTTACAATAAGCAATGATTTTTGTTGTTTTCATTTTTAATGACAATGATCTTTTCAAACCTTGATAAAAGCCTTTCTTACTCTTAATGAGCTTCTCTCTGGGTTTCAAAGAGAAGCCTCTCCTTCCCTCTACAGCCCCACCATGCTTAGCACTCCATATATTGAATTGCTTCTGTCGAATGTTCTTCCTCCCAACTCAGGCCCAGTCATGATCTCCAGGCCCTTTCTCCTAATAAACTGCCTTTTTCTGAAGGAAATTATGTGCCAGCTTCCTTTTCCTGAACTGACTAATGCTGCTCTTTAATCATTATCTCTTTATTATTTCACCTGTTTTAGGATAGATAGATATTAGTAAAAATCAATACAACTCTACCTACTTCATAGCAAAACTGCTAAAAAATGGTAAACAAAGAAAAATATGGAAGCAATGAGGGAAGAGTAAAGGACAAAGCATCCTCTTGGGATCCAAGGAGACGTACTTCAGCAGCTTCCACTCACTCCAAAGGAGGGATAAGCCAGAAGACCAAGAATGCTAGCCTCAGACTCCTGAATAGAATAAATGCCAATCCAGTATTATCAATCAAGAGAAAATATCCTTCAGGAAGGACCGCCAAATGTCAAATAAGGTTTTGACAAACAAAATGAGAGAATCAACAGTAGTAGGCACACTAAAGAGCACTGAATAATATCCTTTAAGCAGAAGGAAAATAGCTCCATGCTCAGAGACAGAGAAAAGATGAGAGTACCAAAAATGGGAGATCTGTGACACGCTCAGGGGAACATTGACAGGATAAACCAGCTGCTTCTAAAATTAAAACACAGGTAATAAAGTAGATGGAAGATAGAAAGGGGGAGGGGACTAAATCCTGATTTTCTTTGAGGCTCTTGAATTGCCTGGAAGAAGGTGAATATAGTGTAAGCACTCTACTACGCCAGGAATGTGTGTGATAATCTCTGTGGAAACCTCTAGAAAAATAGTGATAGCACCTATGACTATGGACAAACACAGGAGAGAAATGACAATAATAGAAATCACGTGATCGAAAAGCAAAGGAAAAAGGAGGACAGGACAAAGAAAATGCATAGTAGCTGCCAGAGTGCTCTCTCTCTCTCTCTCTCTCTCTCTCTCTCTCTCTCTCTCTCTCTCTCCTCTCTACCAGGCCATGCACCCTTGCAGCCTGTACTTTAGGACAAAGGACTCGGACCTGGATGCAGGGGAATGAAGCCCCAGTGTCTCCTCCTCAAATCTACAAGACAATTTTATGGACCTACTTAGTACCTAACTCCATGCCGGCCAGGTCAAACCAGACCACATCATATGAAGCTTGCCCAGCCCCTGTGGAAACTTATGAGTTAGAAACCCCCTTTTTTGTAGGGATTTGAGGGTCTTTCCTTTAAGCCCTCATCATGCTGTAGATGGTAACCATCTCCCCTAATGCAGTCCCACTTCGGACCTGAAGGCCTGCTCTCCCCCTTTTAAATTTTAAATTTTTTAAATTTATTTTTATTTTATATGTCAGGTGTTTTCCTTGCATGTATCTAAGTGCATCTGTGCATGTAGTGCCTGCAGAGGCTAGAGGAAGGCATCGGATCCCGTGGAATGGGTTACAAGTTACAGATGGTTGTTAGCTGCCATGTGGGTGCTGAGAAACAAACACGGTCCTCTGTAAGAGGATGAGATGATGAGAAATCAAGCTTTACGTACACAATGTGTTCAGTT